GGTCCTCCGCCGCTTTGCTCCCCGTCTCCCTGGTCTGCTGGCTCCCGCAGCAGACCAGGGAGACGGGGAGCAGCTTTTCTCGCCCCGGAGGAGGCGGGCAGCGGGACCAGGCGTCCCGCCGCTCCAGTCCTCCGGGGCGAGAAAATCCCCATTCGTATCTGCGGATCCGACATAAGTCGGATCCACGTAACTCGGGGACTGCCTGTACTCCAATGCTTGGGCACAGGAAGATACTGGTTCTTTTAAAACGCTTTTAAGCTCAGCACAGGAAGCATCTTAAGAGTTAAATCAAACTCCTTCTGCTCTCAGAACACATGTTCTTCATACATGAGTTCATGGGTTTTTTCTCTTGTTCTGCAGGAGAGATGTAACAACCTCAACAAATCAACATCGAGAAACAACCCTCACTACTGAAATTTAGCACTAAAACCAATGCTAACATTCTACAGCCATATGTAGGGCTACCATACACTATCATACAGAACTGAAAGAAATATAAATATATGGATCTTCCAAACACACTTTAAATATAAATTCTTCAGGAAGGAGCTGTCTGACTTGTGTGTGCACAGTATCTTATTAAACACAAAGTGAGACACACTATGTAGATGCCACATGGAGATGGCAAAGGAAAAACAGTTTTTATGCAATTTCACATTTCATCAACAGCTTTCCATCTCACTTATGCAAAGGGTTAACAGCACAACAGCTCTTCAGGTGGGGCAAGTAAGATAAAGTGCACAAATTCTACCAGGTAAGATGTTGTTCTTCCCTGCCCATGTATTTTAGGTGCTAATTGTAGTTATACAAAAGATTCAGAACAAACACAGAATGTGAAAGAGCTGCTAGTGACAATATCCATAGGACATTTTTAAGTCTGTGTAACAAATACGTAAGCTTACAATATCCACCAATTCATCCAGTGAATACTCACATCAAGTGATTCCAGACAGTACCAGCAAAAGGCATGTTTGCAGTTTTTACACATCATTTGGGCACAACCTTCATCTCGTTCAATATAAACTTTGCACTTTGGACAGCGTTTGATTGGAGCATCGTCATCTTCCATTTTATACACAGAACTGTGGGAGACATTTGCAGAAGTTTATAAAGGTGCGAACCCATCATCCTCGTTTAAAAAAAAAACAACAACTGGGTTGCATTTTAGTTTTGGTGTCTGCTTTTTTGTTTTGTTGTGCAGTACTCAGAAAGCAGATCTAGTACAACAATTAATTTTTATCGTGCCTATAAAAAAAGCTATGTACTTACTGGAAATGCACATTTCTCTCATCTACCAATTATCTTGTCTGTGACATCAGTATACACAATTCTCCCAGCTGGGCATGTGGGAACCACTCTGGAGTCAGGTTTACACATGCCTAGCTCACCTTCCTGTCTTCTACTCTTGATTCTTATGGGAAGAGGAGACAGGATCTCAATGTGGAGAACAGGGAGTCTCCCAATGCCCAGCTGACTCAAGCTACGGCCTGAAGGCATCAGGATTCCCTGCATGAGAAGCTAGTACAGGGAGAGTCTGAGTTCCTGCTGCCTCCATGAGGCTCCTCCCCTAAGACTCTCCCCTCCAAGCCAGAGTCCACTGGGCTTTCCTGGATACCCCTGAATAGCAGCAGCAAGGGGAAGAGGGACACCTGAGGTGGCTGAATGTGTCATTACCATCAATAGGGCAACAGGTGGCTGGCAAGCAGAGCTGCATATGGTATCAGCAGCCTGGGTTGTCCCTCTGAGCACTGCTCTATGTCAGCAAAAACAAACAGTCCTATGGCACCTTAAAGACTAACAAATTTACTAGGGCATAAGCTTTCGTAGACTTCAGCTCATTTCACTGAAAGCATGAAGTATAAGAATCAGAATGTACCTTGTTTCTCCTGGGAGGAAGGTGATTGGCATATTCTCTTGACATCCTTGCCCTGGATGCCAATTGGATTTACAAGATGAGCAGAACTCTATATCACAAGCTTTGCACTGGACCAGCTGAGGATTCTGAGGCCCTGATTCTTGGAGTTGGCAAACTGCTTGGCAGGCAGAAGAGGGACACCAAGTCCGACATGGATCCAACAGCACTTCTGCAAAGGAGTATAAAATGATCAGAATCAATGACAGATACAGAATTGTTTTTATGTTATATACTGCTTAAGAATGCTCACATTGCTTGTTAGATTGGCTATTTTCATACGCGGTCTCCAGTTTTGCTTGTCTGGTCTGGCACACTTATGGCCTAATTTGCAACTGCCGTCAGCAAATTAGAGACCACTTTTGCAAATATGGCCTTCCTAACACAACACTTCTGGAGATGGATTGAACTAACTGCTATTACATTGTTCCCAGAATCATAAAACCAGAATCATATCTCGTCTAATCCCCAGCCAAGATAAAAGATTTGTTGTATCTAAACCATCCAGGACCAATGGCTATCCAGCCTCACAGTGACGACCAAAAGTGGACACAGTACTCCAGCTGAGGCCTTACAATGTTGTGTAGAGTAATGCTATCACCTCCCATGACTTACGTGTATGGTCATGTAGCTAAAATGTAGCCTTGTGCAATGTTATGTGCCTCATTGTACCTTGCCTGCCATCCTTTCTGACTAGCAGAAAGGAATAGTCTGGTGCTGTTAGTAAATATTCATTAAGCAGGCTATTTGTGTTTGTTATTAATGTTCGGGAAGAAATATACAAAAAGGATCTAATTGTCACTATTGTCACCCTTTCACCATTAGGATTGTTTCTTCCTCCACATTTAAGAGTGTGCTTTCTGATAAAAACCAATAATAATTACTAAGCAATCCCAACAAAAAAATTGGGATCAGTAGACTGGGCATGCTGGTGTAAAGGTTTAAAAGAAATCTATATATGGCATAATGAAAGTAGTAGTCATGTAGCGCCTTAGAGACTAGCAAAAATATATAGCATCATGAGCTTTTATGGGTTGAACTGGGTTTTACTGCATTTGCTTTTTTTGCAACAATTTCGCATTGTTGACTCATGTTGAGGTTGAGATCCACTACAACTCTTCAGATAAGTCTCAAAAATTATCCTGACATCCTAGTTATTCTCCATTTATGCATTTGGTTTTTCTTCTTAGGCCACAACTACAGCCGCAGTAGATCTTCTGGGGTTCAAATTAGTGAATCTTTTGAAAACACGCTAATTCGAACTGAAAGGATGCTCCCATAGATGCGGGTAGTTCTGTTTCTATGGAGAGTAAGGGAAGTCAAAGAGAGAGTGTACTACCTTCCTGCAGCATGGACGGTGCCAAAATTCGAGTTAAGCTACTTTGACTTAAGTTACGCAATTAATGTAGCTGAAGTTTGTGCATCTTAACTCAAATGTATCCCTTAGTTTAAACCAGGAGTTAGTGCAGTGTCTTACCATGGGTCTTTGTTGAATACCATTTATAGTGTGGTTCTGAGATTTTTTCAAGACCTCTCTGAATTTTAGCTCTACCCTCTAAAGTGTTTGCAAACCCCTCCTCCTCATCTCCACGCTTTGTGTCATCTGCAAATTTGATCTGTAAATTCTCTACATCCTCATACAAGTCATTAATAAAGTTGTTAAAGAAGAATGACCCCAGAATTGATCCATGTGGAACCTCATTTGAGACCTCTTTCCAATGTGACATCATTCCATTAATAGTTACTAATTTTCTGCAGTAGTTCAACTAATTATGTATCTCTATTTAATCATAGTTTAACCAAGCCTGTATTTCTCCAGCTTACATATCAGAATGTATCACAGTGTCCCCATAACCCTTGCTGAAGTCCAGGCACATTATGTACACTGCATTCCCCCTATCCTCTAAACCAAATACCTTGCCAAAGGAGGAAATCAAGTTGGTCTGGCATGATTTGTTGTTATAAATTCATGCTTTCTGTTGGTGACTACCCCTTCCTCCTCCAGATATTTGCAAACTAAATACATTACTTTAGTATTTTCCATGGTATCAAGATCAGGCTGACTGATCTAAAAGTCCCCAGATCCTCCTTTTTCCCATTTTTAAAGATAGGCAATACATTAGCTCTTCCCCAGACTTGTGACCTCTCCAGTCACCTTTGAGTTTGCAAACATTATTGCCGTTGACTCTGAGATTTCGTCAGCTAATTCCATCAGCACTCTGAGGGTACGTCTACACTACGGCGCTAGTTCGAACTAGGCGTTAGTCCTCGTAAAATGAAGTTTACCTAGTTCGAACTACGCGCTCCGCTAGTTCGAATTTGAATCGAACTAGCGGAGCGCGTAGTTCGAACTAGGTAAACTTCATTTTACGAGGACTAACGCCTAGTTCGAACTAGTAAGTCCACATTGAGTGGACTCTGAACAGGGCTTAAGGATGGCCGGAAGCAGGGCCGGCAGGGCATCAGAGGAGGACTTAGAGCGTGGAGATGCTGTCTCAGGCTAGCCGAGGGCTGCGCTTAAAGGGTCCCGCCCCCCACCCCGGACACACAGTTCTAAGGGGTGCCCCGCTTGCAAAGAAGTTCTGGCTTGGAGTGCCCTGAGTGCCCACACTGGGCACATCACACCACATGGCCATCAGCCCGGCTGCACTTGCCGCAGGCTGCCATCTGGGGAGAGGGGGCAATTGGGGGGCTGCAGGAGAGGTTCCCCCCCCAGAAGCCCGCAGAGCCAGCCCAGTCCTCCCCATCGGGGGCACGTACCCCATTCCTCCCTCACCTCCTTCCACTTACCCTTCCCTAGCCCCCCTTCTTATTGATGTACAAAATAAAGATAACGTTTCTTCCAACATTGACTCTGTCTTTATTGAACAAAACTGGGGGAGACTGGGAAAAGGAGGTGGGAGAGGGGAAGAGAAAGGCTGGGAGACGGGAGGGCAACTAACATGATCAGGGGTTGGGAACAGGTCCCAGATGAAGAAAGGCTACAGAGACTGGGACTGTTCAGCTTAGAAAAGAGGAGACGGAGGGGGGACGGGATAGAGGGCTCTAAAAGCAGGGGGTGGGTGGAGAGGGTGCATTCAGAAAAGTTCTTCCTGAGTTCCCATAAAGAAGGACTAGAGGACACCAAAGGAAAGGAATGGGTAGCAGGCTTGAAACTAGTAAGAGAAAGTTGTTCTTCTTCAGAAAGCAAATAGTTAACCTGTGGAACTCCTTGCTACAGGAGGCTGTGAAGGCTACAACTAGAACAGAGTTTAAAGGGAAGTGAGATCAAGTCATGGAGGTTGGGTCCATGGAGTCCTATTAGCCAGAGGGTAGGAGTGGAGTCCCTGCCCAAAGTTTGTGGAAGGGGGGAGAGGGATGGCACAAGACAAATGGCTTGGTCATTGTCTTCGGTCCATCCCCTCCAGGGTCCCTAGGGTTGGCCGCTGTTGGCAGACAGGCTCCTGGGCTAGATGGACCTTTGGTCTGACCCAGGACGGCCATTGTAAGCTCAGGGCTCAGTGTCGGGGGGCTCAGTGGACCCCCTTGATTTTCATGCACACCTGGTCCTGGGTGGCCAGGCTGGCAGCTCTCCGGCCTTAGACGGCCACTTTCCTGTGCCTAGTGCGGAGATCGTGGACAAGGTCCCCGATGTCCGCACTAGCCCAGGAAGGTGCCCGCCTCTTGCAGTCCAGGGGAAGCTCCCGGGAGCCGCCAGCCTGGTCCCGGCAAGAGGGTGTGGGCTGGGGGGCATCGGGTGGGTGGCTCTGTGCCGTGCCAGGGGCAGGGTCTGCTAGCTGGGTGCTGGCAGGCTTGCACCTGGCACGGGCACCGTAGCCAGCCCGTGCCCCTTTAAGGGGTCCGGGGCCGGGAGGGGGGCATAGAGTTTCCCTGGTGTTGGCCAGAGTGGCCACCCGGGAAACCCGGGGAGGGCTAGCCTCCCCCTAGTTCGAACTAAGGGCTGTGTAGCCCTTTAGTTCGAACTAGGTAAACTTCATTTTACGAGGACTAACGCCTAGTTCGAACTAGCTAGTTCGAACTAACTTTGTAGTGTAGACATACCCTGAGGTAGTTAGCATCAGGCTCTGATGAAATCATTTAAACTGGTCAGTAGATTTCTTATAAGTTCTTTACTTATGTTCACTTTTAACTTATGGATTGAAATGGTCTGAGAAGAGGAGGGGACTTTTTTAATTTTGTTCAATACAAATGTTACTTATAGAATTAATAGAGCCTATTTCACATTCTATAGGTATGTGAAGTTTTTACCCAGCTAATGAAAAAGAACTGTTTGGTCAGCATTAGCCCAATAGGACCCCATTTAAAGTTGATAATTGGCACTGTCATCATTAAGATGATAAATAAATATATACAATGAATAAATAAATAATAGACATACAAAATAACGTTAAATAGTTTTATCTGTTTACCCATTTCCTGGAGACTGGCTTTACTGGTAACTCAGGGCCTGATCCAAAGCCCACTGAAGTGAACAGAAAGAGTCTCATTGAATTTAATGTGTTTTGGATATCGATAAAAGAACCATAACCAAACACAAACCTCTTTCTGAAGTTCTCTCCGCTAGTGTTAGAGGTTCTCAAATTATTCCACCCAGATTAAAGTTCTCTTTGCCTCCTACAGTGCTACACAAACCCCTCTTGTATGCAGTTTAGAATTACCAAGATGCATCTGTCACTAGGTCTGTCCTGGTGTGGCAGGAAGTGGAATACCCTGCTGCTAGAGTGCTCTGTTTCCTGCTGCTGTGGAGAAGCTGAGCGCAGTGCACTGGGGGAGTGCAGGGTGGAGCAGGCTGCCAGCCCGGTTCCCATCCTCCTCCTGGTCCCTTCCGTGCATACAAGGGTTGGAGGGGCCACTGCTGTGCCCTCAAAAGCGCTAGGCCTGGAGTGGTTACCCCAATTTGTCCTATAATTACCCCGCACCAGAAGAAAAGCTCTGTGTAGCTTGAAAGCTTCTCTTTCATCAACAGAATTTGTTTCTCTGTTATCTTGGGATCCAACACAGCTACAATACTGTAAGCAATAGTTACCTTGCAGGATTCCAGTAACCAAGTTTAGTTTGGCTTCAGAGAGGACCTCTGCATTTTTATACAGAGTCCTATATACTTCCATCCTACCGTAAGTGCTATATAAAGCATACATGTTCATGCAACCCAAAGAATTTCTCCTTTCAGTAACACATGAATACAATATGTAGCAGTTCTGTCTGCAACTCAGTTTCCATCGTACGGTATGTTGCAACATGCATGCAATAGAAGGACTTGAAGAAAAACAATTGGAGCTTTCTTTTGCTCACAAATCATACAAGGCTCCAGCATTATACTATTCCCATAGATCTGGGAGCTACCCATTGGGCTGGAATAAAGGCTGATGTTTCACACTGTACCTCTTTCAAATTGTAGCTTCTTGTACCTTTGCATGATTTCTGATGCAACCATACACTCAATCTGTTTAAATGAAAAAAAAAAAAAGAAAGAAAAGAAATTACAAATTAGCAGTAACCCAAGGTTTTTCCAATGAAAGGAGACCCAGCATTCAACCTTTATAAAATGGTTAAAACATGCTGGCAATAAGGAACAGCTGAAATATAACCTGAGCAAGATGCATCTGAATACACTGAAAGAACCAAACCATACCTCATTTTCTTGTAGATGACCTCGCTTTGGGCAAGAAGCGTCAGGGCAACTAATTGCTGTTTCTAGACCTTCTTTGATCAAAAGTTCCACATACTGTTTTAGGCACTGTAAAAGAGGAAGATATCACCATTTTTCCAAATATAAATTAATTCTGCATATCTTCCCATGCTTTAGCTTCTTCATACAAAGATTTAAAATCATTTTGCAGCGGTGGATACGTATTATCTCCCTTTTCTAACTGGGAGAAACAAATTCAGAGACTTTTGAAGGTTACTAACTTAACTAAAAGAAATAGCATGAGCAAAACATCTTGAAATCCATTTCCATGCGCTCTTCATTATATATTTATTGTGTAATTTTTAATTGAGGCAGAACCAAGAGGCAAGTAAAATGGAATGCTATGAAAATAAAAGATAAAATTAGATTAACCAGTCTTTATAAATCCCTCAGTTTTAGAACACCAGAAACCATAACACAGTGTAGTAAGCAGTGGTTACAGCGGATATAAAAGTGTAACCATGTACAGTACATGCTTAAAAAATGAGCCTGGGCTCATCAGTTAATGTTCACAGTTACACGCAGGCTTTCAACGTGCACAAGGAGCCAGCTTCCCTTGTGCACCGGCTCCTGAGGAGCTGACTGCCACCCCATGTGTAATCATGTAACTGCTGAAAATTTCATTTTAACACCCTGAGCAGCTAGGGTGCCAATAATGCGCCTCCCCCCAGCAACTCCTTTTTGGGTCAGAACCTCCAATTTGAGAAATGCTGGTCTCCCCCAGTGAAATCTGTGTAATATAGGGCAAAAGGACACACAAGCCCAGATTTCATGGTGGGAGACCAAATTTACTTTCTGTGATGCATTTTTCATGACCATAAATCTGGTAGGTCCTTAGACATCTTACTTTTACTTCATTTCCTTTACCTGAAATCAGTGGTTATTTCTAGTGCAAGAGAAAATGTCTGAGCAGCTGGTGGTAATAACTTGAATCATGTAGACTCGTGTTATACTTAGAAATACAATACCAACCAAATCAAACCTCCCCTTCTGCTCTACAGGGGAGAATCACAAGCACTTACATATACACATCTCAATTTGCTTTCAACTGAAATAACGAATGGTGAATAATTCCTCTTGTCTTAATCATATCATCACACACAATGCAACCAGTAACTGTAGAGATCCACGTTTATATTCTGCTCCTTCAGTCTTCCCTGAGTACACTGTGCATTCTTTAAGCATGCGTGAATGACTCCTTTGCCAGGGCTTGTTCTTAATTCCACACTGATATTTTGGTTTTCCCCTCTTGCATCCTGACTGTGGCAAAATCTTCATTTTCGCCCAACAGCATCATTTCAACTGCTGCAATGTGTTACGCCATTGGTGGCAATATAGCCCTTTATATCCCAACAAATTCTTCTATCAGATTCCCCATTTTGAAGTCCTCCTCCTCCACTCTCCCCACTCCTGAAGAAATCTCTCAGCTTCTTGGAGAAAAATAGAAAGAAAATAAACAGCACATACTTACATAAGTGGTTTCCACCATCACGGTAACTCTGTACCTTTGCAAACAGTATATTAATGCCCATCTCCTCGTCTTTGTCAGCACAAAAACAACAAAGAGGTGTCAGGGCTGTTTCCCACTCTGGCACTCTGAGTGCAGAAGGAAGGGACCCACAAAGACTTTAAATATTATCTTGCCACTACACTACACTACACTTGCCACTGGTTACAAAAACTTTCCCCAGGATCACAATACACAGATTTATGTGGGGGGGAGGGGACGGGTGTTACTGCCACCATCAAGTGATTTTTATCCCTAAAACTGGGAGTGAATGCTTGAATCCACCCTCAAGGTACCCCAAGCTCTTCTGCCACAAGAGAGTATGAAAAAAAAAGAAGAGAAAACCAAGCCGCAGTCTCTAGTTGCTGACCTCCCAGACTGAGGCACTGAGGCACTCAGGTAAACACACAGACAGACCTCATGTACCTTTCAGGACACAAGAATTAAATCACTGCCTTAAAAAGTAATTTTTATTCCAAAACAAAAGATATACTTGACAAAGCATACTTGGTTGCTAGATGTTACAGAACAACTAAGGAAAACAAATTAAAAAACACAGAAAATCTCTGGAAACAATGCTTATATAGTAAATGGGGAAGGGAGGCATAGATTCAGACAGAGCAGTTTAAAACAAACAACAAAATAAAGCAAAAACACCCTGAATGCACTTCCCCTCCCCCCGCCTTTACTTACTTCTCTTTGTTCAGTCCACTTCCATGCCCCGAATTCCTTGGAGGCATGGTAGTCCTGACACGGTTTAAATCATTGTGACTCTCTCTCAACTCCTGGTTTAACTCTCCCACACAAAGAAAGCAGGCAAGGAATCTTATACGATTCAGTTTTCAGTACCATCTGCCCATTGGTTCTTCTGGCTACCTGAGTTTAACTCCTTAGTCATTGGGTGCTGATCAGCACTCCTCCTGTTCATTACAAGAGGATTCACTTCTGGAGGTGCTTAGCTACTGGAATGTTTCTTTTTTACTTTGCTCGGGGGTAAGGCTGCCAGGGTATGGCTGGAAACTATATGGACAGCTGAAATCTCTGAGCACAGTGGTGGCAGGGGTATCAGGACTACCATGATCCTATTGTCAGCTCTTCTCTTCTCCCTGTCTATAAATGGTGAGCATGGATTCACATGAAACTATATTTCATGACACTCAGCACTTAAGAATGCTTTTCACGCTCAGTGCACTTTACCATCATTAATTATGAATTTGGCAATTCTCCTCCCCACCCAGTTTGGGAGCTTTGCTAAAGCCAGTCATATGTTCCCCTTTTCTAACATCTTCTAGAGAAGGGAGAAGCTCATCCCTGCCATATCCAATACTCAGGGCCTACTCTATCCACTAACTCAGTGGTCTCCAACCTTTTTAAGCACGAGATCACTTTTTGAATTTATGTCAGACCAGGATCTACCTCAAACCCAAACTCCCCTGCTCCACCCCTTTGCTGAGGCCCTGCCCTCTTTACTCTGTGAATATGGGGGACAGAGGAGGGGGACAGAGAGACATCAGTGCCCCCCTGCCTCTGTCTCCCCCACCCTGCACAACAAGCAGGAAACTCCCAAGGGCAGTTCTGAGGCTCTGGGCAGGAGCAGCCAGGCAGCAGTAAGAAGGGCAGCTGAAGTGCCAGCGCTTGATAGTCTCCCAGCCAAACCAGTCAGGATCCCCTGTCAGAGGCTCCAAGATCTACTGGTAGACCAGAGTGAAAACCAACTTGTCCTAACATAACTTAAAAGCAGATTAATGGAATGCATGCCTTTCAAAAGGTGCTTATATTAATCCCGAACTTCAGTGAAGTGCACTGTAAACATCAGCTGTCATACATGCCCTGATAGCTCCCAAATAGTTGAAACTAAAGGATCATGGCATTCTTAGGCCAGTTTGGCTAGTTATACAGCATACTTTCAGATTTAGTACAGTATGGCACAGTGCAAAGTAAAAACAAAGAAACTAACACAGAGATAGTTCCGGTGTGAATTTTGAAGACTGACTCCTATCAGAGCCTTACTGCAGTGGGATAATCTTTGGAGTAAGCTTATGACCACGTGCATAAGTTCTTTAATTGTTTTAATAGGTTTCCTTGTTGATGCATTCAGCATACGTATAAATGTACTTATTTAAGAAAAATGATGTAGCCTTATAACTGTGGGCAATTATACTATTTATAATCTCTGAGAAGAAAGCAAAGCAGATCTGTTTAGGCAGTCTGACTTGCTGGAGAACTCACAGTGTAGCCAGAGAATTATGCAGCCTGAAAAAATGCTGGTCACATGTCTCTGCCCAAAAGAAGTGAGTTGGTACTGAGCCAAAACCCTTCCTCAAACCCAGGGCCGGATTAAGACTTTTAGAGGCCCTAAGCACTGAAAATATTATGATGCCCCCAAATGTAATTCAAAATAAAATCAATACTATACTGTAAAATAAAATTGTATTTTTCGAAATGACACAAAACTGACATGTCTTCTGAAATTAAAATAGCTTCTTTCTAGATTTTCTGATTGCAAAATTCTGGATACGTTCATCGAAGCTGACTTGACGAAGCACGTCTGCTTCCATACATAATAGGGAAAGTGAATCGAGTCTGTCCTGACACATTGTTGTTCTCTGAGGGTTTTATATCCTTTTCAGCTGAGAAAAAGAGTGTTCTGCGGAGTTCTGACTTTTCCCACGATGACAACTTCAATGCTTTTTTTAAAATATTTAAAAAAAAAATCTTTTTTTTTTTGGTGCCCCTGCTTTGCTGGTGCCCTAAGCACGTGCTTAGTCTGCTTATTGGATAATCCAGCCGTGCTCAAACCGAGTAAATACTTCAGGAAAAATATCACATGCTACCTTTGACGACATGCAAAGAACTTCTACTGAGAAGACACAAAATTCTCCAATTTGTATTAAGCTAGTAGAAGGTGCCAAAAAAAAAAAAAAAAAAAAAAAAAAAAAAAAACACACACAACACACCCACACACTTGTTTAAAACGAACGTAATCAAGGCCACCAGCTACATCAGTGGCTGTTTTAGTGTTGCATATTAGCTAGCAAACTGCAACATCATCTTGTGCAAACCACCATCAATGGAGATGCCTGGGTACTTAGTCCTAATTCAGGAAAGACTGTAAACACATGGTGACGGAGTATGCATCTCCCAATAGACCCAGAAGTTTGGGACCGAGGCAACTGTTAGGGTACGTGGCTGTACCAGGAGCTACCAAGGAGGCACTATCTGCTATGAGTGAATGCCATCACACACATACTTAGAAGTTACAGAGATGCATAGCTGCTTTCCTGAATCAGGGTCCCTAAGGCCGGATGCACCCCCCAACTTGCCCCCGAAGCTTGGGGCTCCTCCTGCAGGGCTGGAGCACACAAAAATCTACTATCCTGAAACCTGCCCTCCCAAGGCTTTGGTGTGTGAGGGGACTCTGGAGAATGCCTTTCTCCTTTTCAGTCAGGGGACACTTCAGTGAGGGGTTTCAGTTTTTTTTCTGGTTCTGATTGGTGTGCAGCCCCTGACTGATTTTTCTGTGGGTCAGCAGTTCCCCTGA